CTTTGCTAAATCTTCGAGGGCATTTTAATTTTCATTTTTTTTTTCGAAGTTTTTTTTTTTTTGTTTCCTTAGTCTCTATCGGGAGATGGGTTGCAAGACGGATGGAGTGGCTGGCTGATCCAACAAGTAAAGTAAAAGACCCTTTTTTTCGTTTGATTTTCTTTTTTGAAGAAGGTTTTCAAATTTATAAAGCTTTTTTTTCTTTTTTTTTTTCCCTATCTCTCTTCCTTCCTCCCACCTTTCCACCTTTCCAACTAAATCCTTGTCGATTTTTTGTTTATTTATTTATTTATTTTTCTGGTTGGGGATCGTGTCTGCCGTCTATTTATGTTATTTATTTATTAGTATTATTACTATCAGTTTTGCTACTTCTTTTCCTTGTTCGTATATTTCTTCTGTCTTCCGGTTCGCTTTTGTCATGAAAACCTGTGCAACCTCATTCTCCTACTATCCTCGCCTTAAAAACATATGAAAATAAAAGAATTAATTACCATCGTCAGTGATTGTCATCATCCCAAATTGGTTTTACTACTATCAGCATGTATCTGCAAGGAAAATGAGCGATAGCGAATCCCAGAAACCAAGCAGCATCATACACATGAAACCAGATAGTCGCGACCTCGAACCAAAAGCAGAATTGCAACTCGAGTTCCACCAAATAAGAGCACAGCAAAAGCTCACAAGTGACAGTGTTGGAATAGTCTCATCATCATCAACAAAGAACCAATGTCGATTTCCTATCTGGCCCTCAGCGCCCAGGCTACAAATGGAAGATCCTATCTAGCCTGTCTACAATGCCGCTGGCGACGTCAACAGCTTCCCCGAAGTACGAGCAGATCTCGGCCAATGCCGTTCGCCTCAAGCACCAGGTATGTCTTACGCATCACTCACAACCTCGATCCCCCACACAGATGCCGCGTGCAACCAAGGACCACCATGTGCCCCATCCAGCACCTCGCAGGCCAGCTCGGCTATGGCTGCCTGCGTATCCCTTGCTCGCCCGTGAGTGCGTGGGTGCTTGCCTGCCAGTAGCGCAGCAGCGCTTGCGCAGCAACTAGCAAGTGCATGAATGCTGAATGCGGGGGCAGGCACTTTCCTATATGGAAATGACCTGCCTGCTGCGTGCTGCCTGGCTGTGCTGGGCCCCTTGTCCAGAAGCTTCCGGTAGGCCCCAAGTGGCTGAGCCCTGGTCCAGGGGAATCAGACACAGGGCCTGGGGTGGTTAGCCGTGTCCAACTGCCGGCGGCTTGTGTGCAGTCCATGCCCCGTGTCTAGCCCAGGGCCTGCCTGGGTTCTTTCAACCAACTGGCGCTGCGCAACTGCCTGAATTTCCCAGTTGCATGGTAAGCCCCAAAATAGGCCTCTCGTCCTTGGTCAGGCCTGCCTTCACTTAGCGCGGCCGATATTGCTGTAAACAGGGCCCAATAGGGCTCGTCGAGGCCTTGAGCCTCGCATTCCCTCCTCCATACTTCGACAGTCCTCTGAGAAGTTCAATTACTCAATCTGGCGCTTTCCTTTCTGCAGTGACTTCTGATAGTGAGCGGCAGTCTGTGGAGCGGTCTGCATCAGTTCCTCCCTAGTAAACCATCAGTGTGATGTCTGAACCGGAAGCGATATTGCAGCTTCGGCTTAGGAGGACGTCCCCTGCCGGTTGGTCTTGGAATTGGCATTTCTTTGTGGTCCACGATGTCGTCGATGTCGACCTCTCCGTCCATGGTTTGGGGCAGCATTGAGCGACGAGAGCGAAACTGATCAGTTTCCTTGAAAGGTGCGAGCTTAGAGGCGTGAAAAACAGGGTAGGTGCGAAGGTGACCAGGGATCCGAATTACGTATGATGGCCCATCTGGATCATCCCCAACAACATCTAGAACCTCCCATGGCCCGAAGTACTGTGGCATGAGCTTGCGGGAGATCCCATGCTCTTGCCCCAGTTCAGAGGCTTTATCCCAGACTCTATCCCCTACCTGGAACGTAGATGGGCGGCGATGCTTGTTCTCAGACTCTATCATTGCCGCCTGCGCTTTATGCATCTGTTCTACGGCTTGATGCATCAGGCGTTCATATCGATAGGCAAAAGTGCCACGTGCAGCAGTCGGCTGGTTCTCAGGTAGTAGAAAGTCTAGGGGCAGTCTAGGCTTGAAGGTCAGTAGCAGATTGTTAGGGCTTACCCTTGTTGTGCTGTGCACAGCGTTGTTGTACAGGCTGGCGATGAGGGCAAGTTTCTCATCCCAGTCCACCTGGTTAGGCCTGATGTAGTGCCTCAGCAGGTGTTGTACAGCGAGGTTCAGCTGCTCTGCTTGCCCGTTTGCCTCTCAGTGGTTTCCAGAAGTCATCTGCAGCTGTGTCCCCTGCTCTGCAGCTGCGGCTTTCCACAATTCACTGGTAAATCGCACATCCCGGTCACTAACTATAGACGCAGTCCAAAATCCCTGACCCAGTTTTCCTTAAACAGCTTAATCACGTACTCAGTTTTAGTTGCTTCAAGCATTGCTATTAACCTAGCATACTTACTAAACCTATCCACAATGACATAGACGTATCTCATACCGCTCGCTGGTGACCAGCGTGTCCATGAAGTCCATGGACAGGCTCTCACCGGGCCTTTCCGCTATCGGAAGAGGCTTGAGAAGCCCAAGAGGGGCCTGTGTACGTGGCCTGTCCCTCTGACATACCTGACAAGTCTCCACGTACAGCTTGGCGTCTCTCATCATTGTGGGCCACCAGAACTGCTGCAGCAGGTTGGCTGCAGTAGGTTGGTTGCAGTCTTCTTATAGCCAAAATGTCCGGTGGCGTCATGACAGTCTTCTAAAAATAAATCGCGTAAAGACTCCCGACTAGGCATACACAAACGTTTATACCCAGCCGTCTCAAGGAACAACAGGTCATTGACCATTACAAACTCGTCAGAAGTAACTTTGTCCTTCGCATCGAGTCTGCGTATGATCTTGGACATAAACGGATCCTCGCGATAGACTTACACCAGGGATCCAGTAACATCGTCCGCAAGCCCAAACTCAGTGATCAGCGCACCCAGGAAGTCCGGCCTACGCGACAACGCATCAACAACTTTGTTATATTTCCCTTTGTTGTACTGGAGTTCAAAGTCATACTGCTCACTGACTTCGATCCATCGTTTCAGCGCATCGCAGAGCACTGGCTGGGTTCTCATCCACTTCAGGGTCTGATGATCATTCTTGAGGTAGAAGAACCTCCCAAGGAGGTGGTGCCTCCAGTGGGTTAGCGCCTTGTAAATCACATAGAGCTCCTTCTCATAGGCGGACTTAGCCAACTTTTGAGAGGGCATCTTTTTGGACATGTACTCGACTGGCCTCAACTTTGGCCCCTCATGCTGCTCAAGCACGACACCAATGCCATATTGGCTGACATCCGTGGTTACTATGAATGGTTTGTCGGGATCAAGAAGTTTCAAGACCTCATGGTGTGTTAAGGAGTGCTTCAAATGTCTGAAAGCAGCCTCACACCCGTCTGTCCACTCTCACGGGTGTCAAGGCATGTCAGGTCCGTCAAAGGGGCGGCCACTATGCTATAGTTCGTTACAAAGTTACGGTAGTAGCCGGTCATCCCTAAGAAGGACCTCATCTCAGTCACAGACTGAGGACGAGGCCAGTCACGAATGTTGGGCACCTTCGCGTCATCGGGCTTCAATCCCTCCGCGGAAATCTCATGACCCAGATACAAGATCCGGGTGCAGCCAAACTCGCATTTCTCCCGGTTAATCTTGAACTTGTGGTGCCGAAGGAAACTAAGAACTTTGTCTAGATGGCCAACATGCTCTTCGACAGTCCTACTAAAGATAAGTATGTCATCGAGGTACATGATGACAAACTTGTCCAAGTAGTCACGAAAGATCCGGTTCATGGTGTGCTGAAAGGTGCCAGGAGCATTGCAAAGGCCGAAAGGCATCACCACAAACTCGTACAGACCGTACCTGGTCTGAAAAACGGTTTTGTGTTGATCCTCAGGCCGTATTGCAATCTGATGGTACCCGGACTTCAGATCTATCTTATTGAAGTACTGACACCCTTGCACTCGGTCGAACAAGTCATCGATGCGGGGTAGGGGCTCTTCGCTCTTCACAGTGATGACATTGAGGCCCCTAATGTCAACGCTCTCCCCCCATTCTTTGATACGAATAAGACAGAAGATCCGTAAGGGGAGACACTAAGTCGGATCCAACCCTTCTCTATGAGTTCCTTGAGTTGCCGGCGAAACTCATCAAGCTCCGTTGAAGACATCTGATAGATCCTACCCTTTGGAATACTAGACCTTGGGATAATCTCTATCGCGTGGACGACCTCCCTCTCAACAACCCCTTTCAGCTCTTCAAATAGATCAGGGTATCTAGCGACCACTCCTTCTATCTCTCGAGGCATTTTTACCGGTTCGCCCTCTGCAGAGACATAAACTAAGTACATACCCTCCTTCAGATTTTGCTTATAGTAATTATAGAACGCGGCCGCATACATGCATCCGTAGGACTCGATCGGACTACTAGCTTTAAACTTTCGTAATCTGGCGGTTCCCCCTCCGGATAAAGTGTGTTTGACCACTTTTCGGTCCCAGTCAAACTGGGGCTGTGCAACCGAAAGATAGTACATACCCAGCAGGATACCCATGGGGAGATCATCGCTACTAGGAACGAGACTCGATGTCTCAATTCCCCTCCTGCGTACGGGAAACGACACTCGATGTCTTTAAGGTAGTCATTGTCTACCATGCGCTGTTTGTTGGCACACGTCGACTCCACAGGTCGACTCAGGCGCTGCACTTGCCCCTGTAAGTGCAACCTCTCAATGCTCATACAACTGATAAAGTTCCTCATCGAGCAAGTATCATAAAAGGCCGCCCCGACCTTGCGACCGCCTGTATCTCGAGATGGTGAGGGTGTGTCCACCACCTCGACCCTAGTAGGAACAACTACAATTTTTACTGGCCCAACGTGTTTCTCGGAGCAATACCAGAACTGATGGCGACATCGCTACCTGGAGAAGCGGAGGAGACCGACGCTTGCCTCATCATAGGCGGGATCTTTTTCGTTGACTTCTTATTTCGGCAGTTGAATCGGTTATGGCCATGATGGATACAAGCCTGCCGAGTGTAACGGTCTCTCCACACGTCCTCAGTAAGCCCCTCTTTCTCCCATGGAGGAGCATTCGGGTCTACTTGACTCCTAGACCTGGAGCCTCCGCGGCGTCTACCGGTCGCCTGATCTTTTTGTTGCACAGAGGCAGCGACTGCTCCACCCCCTGAAGCTTCTGTGCTGCCTGCCTCTGACCCTACTCCCTCCTGGAAGTCGTTGTCTAACTCTATGGTTGAACCATCATTATCAACGAACATGATGCGACTCTTCGCCTTCCAATTGGGAGGTAACGTCTTTTTCCTACCATCCGTTGTGGGTTGGTGCCCATGAACGATCTTGGCTTTCAGCTCCAGGGCCTTCTTGCTAAACAAGCGGAAGTTGTGCACTGTGGTCATAGCCTCACCTGCCAATTGATTCCTGAGTTCTATGGAGAGACACCTCAAGTAAGTGGTGAGTAAGACCTAGGGATCGTAACGCACTCTAGGTACACAGATCAGACGCTCAACAACGTTCGTGGCATCCCTTACTGACCTAGACTTTCTCGAGCTCAGAGTTAGGATCGCGTCACTGACTTTTTGGACCTCCTGCAGATCATGCCACCTTTCTTCCACCAACTTGAGGAAGTCATCCAATTTATAGTTGACTGCCCAAGTGCGGAAGTCATGACCGTACCCCTCCAGTTGCACGTACCCGCTTAACCATCTTGCTGCACTCCCCTCCAGGTAGGAGGCAACCACAAACACTTCCTCGTGAGGCAATGTCAATTTGCATTTTACGTAGACTGGCAGTGACCTCAACCATATGTCGAGGTCCTCACGCCTCTTATCTCCTGAGAAGGGTTTAGGCGATGCAATGACAGTCTTAGAAACCCATTGTCCTTGTCCCAGTGTCTGCACCACTCTAGGCTGTGGACCCTGAGGTGCAGGTTGCTGCACTAGCTGCTGCTGGGGCTGTGTACCCTGCGGCTGTGCCGGCTGCGCGACGGCAGGCTGCCCAGTTACAACAGTCTGGAACGGAGGTTGGAAGAACATTGTTTGAACAAGAACCTGTACACTAGGACCTGCTGCTAACCTGTCTGTCAGAGGCATACCGAGTAAGGAAACGGCCTGTACCGAAGTCGGAAAGACTGCAAATGGGGATACTCTAGTCACCAGTGGGACAAAAGGAGGAGGCTGTACCATGGGCCAGACATCGGGCCCTGATGGTGATGGTGCACCCAGAACTCCCCCGACCAGCACGACCACGCTCCGTTGGATGTTCTATAAGAGTGGCATGTGGTAGTCCTGCATCTCCACTACATCTAACAGGGTTGTCCTCACGATCCTCACATCGACATCTATATTAGTCAGGTCCATCCCCTCTAACTCTCTAATGTCCGCTTGTCTCTGCTGTATCCTAGTTCTTCTTTTGATCATTCTCTCCTTTTCCGCCTGTATCTCGTCTAACGTATGCTGTAGTTGTGCCTTATGAGCACTTGCTCTCTGTATGGCGATCTCCTCGAGAGTCAACACTAACTGCAGGTTTGCTATAACGCCAGCAGTTTGACTCAGGGTTTGTGCGACCATTGCCCCGATCGTCTTTAAACTACTGGCCTGGGAACTTTGCTGCGCATCAGTGGCCATGGCTGCTGAAGTAGCTGCCGCACTTGTGACAACTCTGCTTGCCTCTACGTCCCTAGCCCTCCGTTGCTGCTGCTGCCTCTCCCTAAGCTGGCGGAACAGAAAACGGTCTCCCTCTGGTCCTAAAGCTACGTGGACCAACGAGCGACTCGGAGCGTCTTGCCGATCGCAGGATCCTATCGTCCGGGTCAGGGTTCTCCCTGTCGCTCATAAGCTACAGAACTATGCACGGGTTGCACTAGGGCAGACCTGGTTGCCTACCGCAGCGTAGTGCTCAGACCGATATTAATCGGTGGCAATGTCAGAGTATATGCAGTTGGGTCCAACAGGTAAGTCCAAATTCCCACAAACGAAACTAATTTATTTTACTACTCCGCAAACAGAAAGCAAATGAGCAGAAATAGTTCTACCTATGTTGTCTGTCAAATGCTAATGGTTGTACATCTAACTAATCAAAATAAAAATAGAATAATTTGATTGGTTGTTGGCAGAGTGGAATTGTTCCTGAACTTATCACCTGAAAGTTACCCCTCCCTCAATTCTTCTTGATTGTCACTTGACATCGGCGTCCCTGAGCGATCCAGATAGCGTGTGTGTCTGAAGGTGTGCACACGACCCACCCATGTGCCCCGAGTCAATGCTGAGTTGGTCAGTCTGCACCATGTTTATCCTCGCGTGCAACAAGCCTTACACCGACCAATTGGCTGATCAAGAGGCGTTTAAGGACGGACTCCGAAGTCCTCAGGAATTATTTAACGTCGCAAACAGGACGACAATGACAACCAGTGGAAGGTAACCCCGCCGCTATTTTTTTTATAGACGTCCAGTACTCGTCGCCCCTGTAGGGATGGCCTGCTCCTCATAACCCATCTACAACACAGCAGGCAGATAAAGGACAAAGCAGCAAAACATGTGTGCTCTAGTGGGTTGGCATGGTGACCGTGACATAGTGCTTCGTCCATGACCCTTCAGATAGCTTTGCCCTCTCCTTCCAGATGCTCCACGTGAACAATGTCGACTCTCAAGGTTGAGCTCACTCGACTCCTCACATGAGAGGACTCTCAAGACAAAATACACATCCTCACGGTAAGAAGTGTCCAAGAGGGTAGATAAGGTTAAGAGCAACGTACCTCAAAATAGCTGGCCCCAACCACATATATTCTCACCAGATGACTTGACGCCGATTGTGATGACCAGTTATTGCTTCGGCACAACCAACATTACACCGTCGTTCCACCTCAGCATCAATTGCACATTAGATAGTTCTCATCACACTGCGAAACACCCAACACCCTCCATAGCCTTATTGGCAATACCCCTCTCCGCTTGGGTCGCCTGCTTGCCTTCACCCTCCTCGCTACACACTCCCTACGGCCGCTCACTCAACAGACCGCATGCATGTACCGCATAGGTAGAAGACAAGCGCCATATTAGCGAAACGTACCACAACTCCGATACCAAAATGCAAGGGAAATGAGCGATAGCGAATTACAGAAACCAAGCAGCATCATACACATGAAACTAGATAGTCGTGACCTCGAACCAAAAGCAGAATTGCAACTTGAGTTCCACCAAATAAGAGCACAACAAAAGCTCACAAAAGCTCACTTTCGATAGGACTTTAACTCATTATATGTTTATCCATCCTTACGTATGTATATCGTTTAGCCACATGGGTTGGATCATAAAGCGTTCTTGATTATCCATCGTCATCCAAACATAATGTGATTAATATATATTATAATACACAGAGTTGTCAGGCCGAA